TATTATAAAAGTATAGGGATTACACGAATTTGTTGTGTTTATCCGTCATTCAGATGATGTAATAAGGAAATAAAGAAGGTAATAAAGAAATTTCTGACAAGATTTAATTCTTTATAGACATTACTTTAGCTAGAGATTACGGAATCTTGTATCTTGTCACAAGAAGATTTTCGTTGAAAATATTCTTAAAATATTCCTTAAAAATATAAAAAAGATCAATACAGAACTCTATACAGATTAGATTAAAATGTGAGATACAATTAGTAAATTATTTGTGCAGTTGAGATTGAATGCTACTAAATAGATGTTTTCGATGATTTTAGAAAATACTAAACAGCACTAAGCACATTGATAAATGTCGTGCATATAATATACTACATCCCTAGTTCGGCGCAGGTTTCCTCACTAGTACAGGTACCATAATAATGTTAACATATAAAAACGTACAAACATTATTACAGTTTGTTATCGTGTATTGCGAGAGTATTCTAGTCTAGCGGAAACAAAGATTTCTTTTTGCATATTTTGCAAATATTTGGTATGGAAAATATGTCTGCAAGAAGATTTAGCTCGATTCACAAAATTGATATAGTTATAGCATCTGGTAAGGAGCGATTTCCGTCGCGCGCTCAGCATTCCGGCTGCGTGGTGCACAATAGAGCATTGTGTCGGCATTTATATTTTGGTTAGGTTCGGCTAATGAATTGCTGGAACGTTGTTTAGGAGAAACACAAAATAATAACTAAAGCTTTTTAAACGTACTAATTTGGATTTTTGCTCCAAAACATCTTCATTCTGGGGCAAAGATTGAAGTGGTAACTTTTCTGGTAGTTATTATCTTCAATGAAGGATTTATATTTTGAAAGTTATGAACTTAATGAGTAACTTTTTTGGTCATAGCATGCGGAGATGTACGCAAATTTTCGGAAGAATACTCGCACGAAACGGCGTTCAACTGATTTCCTTAAAGATGAGAGATTAAATCGCAGGGAAGAGAGAACAGCGCAGTAAGACTTTTATAAGCAGGAAGAAGGCCTCCTGCATGGCCCTGCACTAGCTGATTGATCGTAAGTAAAATTATTTCTATGTAATCAATGTGAAAAACATTAAATACGTTATTTTATTTTTGCCCCTCACATATCTTATGATATCTTATGATATCTCTAAAACCAGTTGATCAATTGAGTCGTATATGCATACATCTTCAGCATAAGTATAATTAAAGCACCTCCCAAAATCAAATCAAAATATTTTTTTTATTTTTTTAGAGCCTTTTTACAGTTTTTAAAATTTCAATATTTTTTTCATTTCAATATCTGCTATAGCCAAACTCATACTAATTAAGAATCTCTCTGGTTTTTTGTTTTAGATTTTAGAAGCAGAATAGCAAGAATCATAAGAGCCATACCAGAACAGCCATCATAAGAATAAATTTTTTTTTATTACGTTATTCAATTTTGTGTATTACATTTGTTTATAATTAGTTTTTAGTAAAAAAATTTGAAAATATACTTCAAGTATATATAAGTTTTTGGGATGCGGTGAGAAAAACCACATCCCAAAAAACTTACTTAAAAAAATTTGAAAAAATAACATATAAAAATTCAGCTTCTAGACTAGAACACTCTCTTAGCACCCCCTTGTGTGAACATAACAACGCAAAGTAGAAGACAAATAATAAACTAAATAAATAAAAAAATAATAGGAATTGCTATACTGGTCGAAACATTAAAATTGTAAAAAATAATAATAAATAAATCCGGTCGGAGCAAACATTATTTTTTTAAGTAACGGAATTTTCATGTGACAAGTAAATTACGCATTGTACAAATGAACTCTATTTTAATAAGACTCACATCCTGTGTTGTAATAATTTTTCTCATTCGAAATACTTAATTATTTCGGTTGCACTAAAGTTTGCAATTTGCTTTATCACAAAAAATAAAATAACTACAATGAAATATTATAATTAGATTTAAATATTATCTTTTTTAAATGATGAATGTATATAATATAATTTATATAACTTTATCGTTTTATAAATTAATAAATATCGTTTTATGAATTAATAAATTTAAAAGAAATCTGCAAATGGGATTATTTCGAGAGATAATTTTGCCGGATACACATATTCTCAATTAAATAGAAGTAATAGATATGATCTCTCTATAAGATATTCCTGTTAAAATTTTCAAAAGTAAACCATACATCATTACGTAACAGACAATTTTAATAAAATTTAGTATATTTTTTATTTAACAATCTATAAAGATTTAAATGTTAATTTACGATTTTATATTTTTTTATAATATTTTTGTTCATGTTTTATAATATTTTTGTAATGACATTGATAAAAACCTGGATTAAGCCGAAACGTTTGTCGATCGATTTTCTATTTGATTTATTATAATTTAATGTAAATTGTTGATAATAATTACATATTTTTTTATTTTTACGCTCGTACATGGGCGCTTGGTTTTTAGCCTTCTGCAATTTGTTTTTGATTGATATAAAGATTTAATTACAAAATAATAATTAAATTCAAGTTAATACTTTCAACACTTAGCGTAGAAATTTCATAAAAAAATACATTTAAAGTATTATAAAAGATTTTTGCGATACAAAAAAAAATAAATGTAGAATAATATTGTTATTTAATAATATCCAATAAACAAGCATTAAATTAATTGTAAGAGAGACACTATAATATGTATAATATAAATCTTATATTCTATTATTTGTATTTTATCGCATAATTTTATCTTGTTTTTGTTTCAGGCATTAAATGGCAAACACGGCGAAAAATGTTAACTCCTGCATTCCATTTCAATATATTAAATCAGTTTGTTGATATCTTGATCAAGGAAGGTGATTGCATGACAAAATCTTTGAAGGATGTCGGAGGGACAGTTGTGAAGGATTTATTACCATTTATCAGTGAATATACGCTAAACGCAATATGCGATAATATTCTAAATGATATTGATATGAATTCTATAACTTAAGAAAAGAATTTGTTTCTACACGAAGTATCACATGCATATACACACACACACACACACACACACACACACACACACACACACACACACACACACACACATACCGCGACGTAGACACACGCATGGATACAATAGTACAATGCAAATAAATAATATTCGATTTTTTATTGTCAAAGCTATCAATGAAATATTCCCCGTAATAATCTTCGATCACGACACAGAGTATGCCAGAATTCGTGGACAAAATGCAAAGCTTGACTGTGCGTGCCAGAAGAAATAACTCTTTTATTTAAAAATTTGTCCGAAGACTACTTTTGAAATAAAAATAACTTTAAGCTAACGAATGAGTGCTCTACACCAAACAGGCAGTTGAATCAGATATGGTGTACGACAAGAAATTAGTAAAGTCGGATTTTTCGCGCGTAGTAATGAGGATTAATTAGTGATATATCAATTTATAGAGGAAGAAATTTGGCAGACATAAGCAAACTCATCTAACTGTTTCAATTGAATGATTAATAGTGATTATTATTTTGAATTTGCGATTTTAAGTTCAATGAAGTAGATGAATTGAAAGTATATAATTCCCATACTTTCTATAAAAAATATTTTTTATTTATTTATATTTTCAACAAATGTATTTTGTTTAACAAATCTGTTTCTGTTCAAATTTAATGAAATTTCTTATAGTTATGTACTTATAAATATATATGTATATAATATATATATATATATATATATAAATATATATAAATATAAATATATATGTACATAAATATATAATAAATATATTTTAGAAACTGTCAAGGACATCTCTCTGGAAAAATTCGGCGAATTCCAACAACAGTATCGAAATGCAATTCATGAAATAATCGAATTGATAGTTTATAGGTAATTCAATATATGACAGTATAATAAATAATTGTGTGATATATCTATGATGTTACATTAATAATATAGCTATACATTTAAAAAATAGATTGATTATTAAAGTCATGTGAAGCTAAACAACTGTTTATATCAATGATAATATAAATATTGATTTGTTTTAGTTCGTAATTAGCAATTAAAATTTATTGTGTATGCTGCATTAAATATTTTATTTCAAATTGCTTTTAATCATGAAACCATTAAAAAATTAAGGGAAATAAATTGTTTGAGCAAAATTTGTAGATTAAAAAATATTTAGCTGTGATAACAAAATATTTAGCTAAAACAAAAATACAATGTTTTTAGAAAGATCTACATAACTTTTTCTCCTCACACATAGTTTAAAATTTTTTATATATTATCTATAACCTATGTTTATTTAGAGTTAAGATTACTCTATTTCTTCATGATGACTACAAAATAATAACATTTTTATTGATATTATATAACTTAATGAATTTCGGTTTAGAGGATTAAGGCTTTGGTTGTATATTGAATTCATATTCTTATTAACACCACAAGGAAGAAAACAAAAAAAATCTTGAAGATATTGCATGGATTTACAAAAAAGTACGTTATGAGTCATGTTATCTCAAGTCCTTCAAACACTTTTAAAAATTACAATATATCTCGTAATATTAATAACATATTATTAACATTTATAATGTAATATAATATACCACTGCTATTTAATACAAAAATAAATATAGTAATAACTTAGTTAAATATAGTATTTGTGTATATAGGTCATTGCGGAAAGAAAACTTTATCATGAACGTACAGGTAATCGATATTTAAATATTATTAGAGATAATAAAGAGACGGAGGCAAGAGATGTCGAAGTATTCGGAAGTATATAAGAACTCAGAGCTTCTAACTTAAATTCAACTTGACAATCTAAAATTATACTCTATTTACACTAAATATATATGTATAATTACACGAAATGATGCAATACATGTTCACTATCAAAATAAATTATTACTATTTATAAGAAAGTATAAATTTTAAACGAGAACAATGTTATGTAGTTAAAGCGCGATATGCAAATATGATGCTAATATGCCTTGCTTATTTCTAGTTAAAAAAAAACGGCTAGCCATGTTGGACCTTTTAATAGCGGCATCTCGAGAAAGTTCTTTAACTGATTTGGACATAAGAGAGGAAGTCGATACTTTCATGTTTGAAGTACGTGTATGTAATATTTTTTTTTAATTTTTTGTATATTATTTAAAACAATATGATGATCTGATTACAGGGTCATGATACTAGAGCAGTGGGTATAATGTTTGCTTTGTTATTATTAGCTGAAGACAAAGATGTTCAGGTATACTTCAATATCTTATAATATATTATTTATATTGAGATTTTTAATAAAATTACAAATATCAAGTTCTTCTTTACAGTGTATTTTTCTATACATATATTAATATATAAATTCTGGAAAAATTAAAACATCTCAAAACAAATATGAACAATATGTTTTGATTTATTACAAATTTATTTATATTTATGCATATAAAAATATTAAAAATATATTGTAATTATTATTATCGATGACATAGGAACGTGTGAGAGTTGAAGTTAATACCGTGATGCAAGAGAACGGAGGGAAACTTACCATGAAATCATTGCAAAATTTATCATATTTAGAAAGATGTTTAAAAGAAGCGTTACGTTTATATCCCAGCATGTTTTTAATATTACGCAAAACTGCGGAAGATGTAAAATTACGTAATTAATCACTTTATGTCACATAACACGAAGCGTATACTATCGAACGTAAAATTTAGTATAGTATATTACATTTTAAAAATACAATATTACGTACATTTTATTTTTCTAAAAAATTATTATTTTTAAAATTTTGAAATTTTGTAATACTTTTCAGATTCATATGTCGTACCTGCTGGAACAAATATACATCTTAATATTTACGGAGCACACAGAGATCCTAATTTTTGGCCAAATCCAGAAATATTTGATCCTGATAGATTCTTGCCCGAAAACATACGAAATCGTCATCCTTATTCCTACCTATCATTCAGATAGAAGATTAGAATCCCGTAGTTTCATTAGATATTTTGGACTTATGGATTTCAATAACCTTTGTAAAATCATAAAATTTATGTATTATTAATTTCATACAATTATATTAAAATTAATCGAAAAATTCAGTTGTTTTGTCCTCTTTCTTTTATAAATGCAAACCCACTTTATATAATCACTTCAATTGTAATATAATTATATTTATAATTTTTTGTGCTATGTATTCTAAATATATTCATATTCTGCTGTTTCAAATTCATTTTATATAATACATATAATATATATAATATATATAATACATTATCAATAAAATTTTAAATCCAGTTTCGTTTAGTAAATGGATAATCTAACGAAAATAAAATTTAAAACATGAATGAATTTTTGATCGATTTAATTACATAATAGTAAGTAAAAGAATTATAAATGAAACGGAGATATATATGCACCATTTTCTAAATGATCTGATTACTGGGCTGATACTACAGCAGCGAGTATAATGTTTGCTTTGTTATTATTAGCTAAACACAAAGATGTTCAGGTACCTCAATATCTTATGATATATTATTTAAATTGAGATTTTTAATCAAAGTACAAATATCAAGTTTTTGTAAAAAAAAATACTTAAAAAAAAAAATATATATATATATATATGCGTATATATGCACTATAAACACTTCAACAACAATTTTTTTGGCGTGGAAGTGACATCTCGTTTTATTATCATGTTGCTTTCAATATCGATCTTCTGTAATGACACAAACTAGTCGAGTCATTAGATTAATGATATATAAATGATATTTATAAAATAATCCATTTATTCCACGTATTAAAATATTCTGAGTGTATGTAAGATAATTGTATATATATTATCGAGATAAGTATTTGATAAGAAACATTTTATAAACACTAATTAATAAAATTAATGGACGTTTTTCAAAGACGTGTTTTTTTATCCTGCTTAAACATCTTTTTATATTTTAAAAGTTTTTTTATTAAACTTAAAGCATTCTGCACATGTAGCAAAACGCATTTTAATATTATAAATACATTTCACCATAATATTAACCATAATAATAGTAATTATATTACAATGTTTCAATGTTAAATCTATGTAATGTTATTGCAAAATTTCGGTGTTGTATGGGATTATAATCCTTATATTATAAGATAATATTATTTTTAAGCATAATTTTATTTTATTTTACGCAAACTGTCAAAATTGATAGCTGATTTCACAACCGCAAATAACATGAAGCAAGTCACAACGCGCATATCAATATTTAAAAAAAGGAGCAACGATATATTTCGAGACTTTCGACATAATATACCTTTTTTAGAAAGGATTAAAGAAATAGTTGTAATTACTATAAATATAATTATTTTCAGTGCCAACTAAAGTTAAAGTTATTATTACTAGGCACAAGGTTATTATTCTATTCCGAATCACAATTATGACATACATAATAAGAATCGCCATTGGTACAGTTATTATGGGACCAATCCTAACAACATGTTATTTTCGTCCAAGAGCACTTCTCCTCATCTCCTCGCCCCTCCATGACGAACCGGCGCGAAAAGATGTGAAGAAGTGCTCCCCACTTCTCCGGCATTGAAAAGAGAAAGAAACTCATCTTACATCTTTTGTCTTTCTTTTCGTATGCTTAACGCTTACACAATGGATGCTCGGTCTATACTTACTATGTCTATGCTTTCCTGTATAGTACTTTCATATATGTATATATACATATATAGAGCAGACTGGAAGCAAAAGTCACAGCAGTAACAGCATCAAGATACACACGTGCGTACGTGCGTGCGCGCGCGTGTCTATGTGTGAGTTTGTGTCAAGCAAAGTGGAATTATTGAACCGTCGATATATCAAAGCATAAAATTCTGATTATTAATATGCTTTTGAGTTGATAAACGGCTATAAGTATAAGTCTGTGAAATTTACATTATTAGTTCGAGGAGATCTGTTTTACTTACATGTGTATCTGCTTGGAGAAATTTACAATTGCATTTTAAACATTCCAGTGTTTTAGTCATTTTATTCGAAAATTTATCAGGTAATATATTAAATAAAATTTTATAATACTATTGTAAAATCCCAATAATGGTTAATAATAATATAATTATTTTAAAAGCATGATTTTTATATAAATATTTAATAAATTTTTGAAATATCACAAGCTATCAGTTTTGTACGATTTTTATATTTTGTTATAATTTTATTAAATATATATTATAACAAAAGTATTTTTACAGAAATATGTTTAACAATTAGATACACAACAAAACGATAGAATAAACCCTTATAAGAAATCACGATAATTATACAATTTGTATATTATATGAAAACACAATATAATAGAATAATGATTATGATATAAATTAAATAAAGCCAAAAAAATAATTCTTTGTTTATTGATACAATTTGCGAGTGCTTAATTAAATAATTTTGGTTTATTATAAAAAACTCTTTTTATAAAACTATAAAGTATATTTATAGATCTAACAAGGGAAAGCAAGGAAGTGTCCCCCTCCGATTTTGACGAGCTTTTAATATGTTGTTTTCTAGACAAAAGGACACGTATTTTTTTTATACCCATTTAGTGCCCGTACGCGTGTCTAAAACACCTCTTTGAAAAAAATCGGTTTTTTCCTTTCGAGATGAATATTTAAAAAAATATAAGAAATAGAAAAAATTTTCAAATTAAAAATTAAATGGCTTCAAGAGTACTTTACAATAATAACAAAACAATTTTATTTTTTTAATTTTTTAAAATACCTCCACCACTAAATATATTTTTTTTTAATTTTGAAATTTCTTTATTACCAAGTGAAAGGTTATTTTTTTACGAATCCAACTATATATTATTAAATTATGTTTCGAAAAGTCATTTTCCAGAATTAATTATAAACTTCTCTGTAATACACCTATTCGTGTCCATCCATGCGCTCGATTTTTCGCGCATCCTGTTTTTCCATAACAGAAGATAACTAACACGAACATTTATCTATGTAATTATGTTTTTTTCGCGTGCATAACTAAAATAACATTGATATAGTAAATCAAATTTATATTTAATATGCGGTAAGATATTAAAAATTAATCAATTTTTGCGACGTTTTTAACCAATTCAAATTATTAATCTCGCCACTCTTCGGGGTGTTGGTGAGGAGCGTGCGCGAGGGGGGAGCAAAATCGTCGTCAAAAAAAATAACGAAGATCATATACTCGCGCTCCGCGGAATAGGGATGGAGGGCGTTCGCGCGCGAACCGCGGCGGAGCGGAAGTAGTCTCGATATATCGATAAGTTGGGCGCCAGATGCGGTCTTTTACGCATCAATTTCCGCGAAGCACCGAAGAACGCGAAAAGCGTACATCGCCCGTGTTGTCGTATCGCTGTCGTCGCCGCGTGGAATATTCCCGCAAATTATCTCGGGGCGATTTTTTGTGTCTGATTGCGTGGATATCGTCGATTGTTAAATGTGCGTGTGAGCGTCTATTGTATTATATTGTAGTGTGTGCGTTAGAGTATTTGCGTCTTCGTTGCGCTTATTACGCCGGTGAATAGAGCGTAGTAAGTGATAATTTGCGTTTGTCGAATGTGTCGCGGTGCGAAATAATCGCAAAAGCACGACCGAGAGTGAAATCTGAGCTGCTTGCGCGGAAGAAAGACAGATCGTGACGGCCAGTTAAATATAAATAAGCTCAAAATGTATGCATAAAGTGACGCACGAAACTCTAAACTTGTTTAATTTAAGGTGGCACAAGATGAAATAATAAAAATAACAATTATAATAATAATAATAATAATAATAATAATAATAATAAGCAAGTATAAAAAAATACGTGTTCCCAATTTTTGTCTAGAAAACAACATATTAAAAGCTCATCAAAATCGGAGGCGGACACTTCCGTGTTCTTCCTAGTAAGATACTTTCGAACAAAGATTTGCACAGAAATGAATTTTAAGTGGATATTGTGATATAATTGCTTAAGAATTATATACATTCATACAGTTATAACCTACATAAAATTATAATTAAAATGTTAATACTAAAACCAATTTATATGTTAAATATTTGCGACAAGAATTAATATAAGAATTGATATAAAAATAATAATGATCCTATTTATGATACTGTTAATTATTTTACAATAAATTTTCACGAAATTTTATCTTTTACAATAAAAAACAATTGCAAGTAATGATCGAAAAATTTAAAATATTTTTATTGTATTCATAGATTTTTTATTACATAAATAATGAACAAATTAATCATATTGTTTCATGAATCTTTTAGTTAATCATAAATAAAAGTTAATTATAAAAAGAATATACGATTTACATTTCAGTGATCTTTCTATTATTCTTTCTCTCTTTATGTCTCTTTCTATTTAGAATTAACATTTAAAAACAAGATAATTATCAATTCTGTCGGAGAATTTATACCATTTTGTGACACATGTGAAGAATCGAAGAAACAATAAACTGAAAAAGCTTAATTTGACAGTTAAAAATATCAACGTTAAGGAACAATGTTTATAAATATATTGTTATTATTCATATTTATTTTATCGATATATTACTACTACGCACATTATGGAAGAAAAGGACGACTTCTTCATCTCATACCGGGACTTCCGAGCGTTCCGATTTTTGGTCACTCACACCTAGCCCAACTTTCAGCAGGCAAGTACAACATTTCTACTCTATTTGCATTAATTGACAAATGACTCGTCATTCATGCATATATTCAAGCAAAAATATTAAATTTATAAATTTTTGCTCTAAATGTATACCAAGATTATTACATGCAGATTACATATCTGAGCATTTCTTTTTGAAATAACCATTTGTTATTAATTTTTTTTATTATTTGTCTGTTCCCATAATTAAAATACGTTAATATTAAAAATAACAATAAAATTAGTCTCGCTAAAATTTTTGAATCGATAATAAAAGATTAAATCAAAATTAGCAAATTAGAGACACCCCGTGTAG